AGCGCCTTATCCACCTGGCCATGCCGGGCCTTTGGTTGTCTGTAGTTAACCACAAGGCTACATAATGGGCTATCCGTGCTCTACCACCACGAGTATCGAAACCCATATTTTAGTGTCGTAAGTCTGCAGGCTTACCACTAAGCCACTGGGGGAGGCGAAGAATATATAAGGATATATATAGGGGAGGGGGGATATATAATGATATCTATATAAATGGATAGTAAAGGAAAACCCCGATATATTGTAAGATACGTTTCTTTACAATTATAAATTTCACTTTACAGAACCTCACGGAACGACTACAGACTCTTCTACAGGCCTAACTGCAAATAACAGAAAGTCTTCTGGAAAACTACTTGATCCAATAGTCGACGGTTCAGGAGATCGTAAGCTTCAAAACTATTTTGCTTTCGGTATTACTAGATATCAATTCCCTGTGACATAGGTTGTAGTAATTAATTAATTACTAATAATGGAAAAATCCTTATTGTTAATTCTGAAATTCTGCAGCAGTAATCTGTAATCATATAATTCATCAAGATAATTATAAAAAAAACGTGCTGTAAGTTTGGTTTTTTTTTGTAAGACAATGCTTAACGTGATGGAATAAATTTATAAACCCAGTTTATTGAAACTTACGGTGAGATCAGGATTGAAATAACTATATTTCACGTTTCTTTGTGTGTGTGTGTGTTTTTCTGTACTCCTTGTTACTCCTGATACATTCTTCTAGAAGCTCCTGTTCTGACCACCAGTAAGCACGAAGACGACAACATCTTTCAAAGGCCAGTCGGGAGCTCAGTCGTATTCCGTTGCGCTGCGAAAGGAAAACCGAAACCAGTGATCACGTGGTTCAAGGATGACAAGCAAGTGCTCGAGAACGGCTTGGTTGTGAGGGAACTGTCGAACAGCGTTCGAATCTCGCGATGGTCAATGATGATCGAGAACCTGAAGATTGCAGACAGTGGTAAATACTCGTGCGTTGCTTATAACATCCACGGGAAAGAAAACGTTACTTTCGTTCTTCAAGTTGTCGGTAGGTATTAGCTTCACCTTTAACTCGTAACATAGCTTAATAAAATATATTACGATTTTTTTGTTGGGGGGTAAATATAAATATATAGATTTCTAATCTCTGCCCGGCATGGCCAGGTGGTTAGGGCGTTTGACTCACAATCTAAGGGTCGCATGTTCAAATTCCCGTCCTACCAAACATGCTCACCCTTTCAGCCGTGGGGCGTTATAATGTGACGGTCAATCCCACTATTCGCTGGTCAAAGAGTATTTAGTTATTGAGAATATTTACAATGCGGGAATGAAGAAAACTATTTCATTTTGGAGTATTTCATTAAAAAAAAGATCAGGTGATGAAATTTTGTACTTTATTAGTTAACTTGAGTTTAAAAAAAGATGTTATTTAAAAAAAAATTGAAAAATGAAAGCGACTGCCTTTTTTGCAAAGAATGCGACCCCCAGTGGCACAGCGGTATGCTTGCGGACTCACAACGCTAGAAACCGGGTTTCGATACCCGTGGTGGGCAGAGCACAGATAGCCCATTGTGTAGCTTTGTGCTTAATAACAAACAAGCAAAGAATGAAAAATGCTGAAGATTCCATCACAAAAATTATAAAAAATAACACATACACAGGATACTCCCGAAAGTAAAATTCGAAATCCCTGAACACATATACTTCCCATGAACCGAAAGACAAACTTTCCGCGAACGTGCCGACGAAACGTTTGTTTGTAGTTAAGCACG